ACACACACGTGCGCATGCACTCTGGCATACGCACGCACACACACGCGCACACACACACACACACACACACACACACACACACATACACATACACACACACACACACACTCACACAAGCATACATATACGCACCCCGGACACACAAACATGCATAGGTGCGTAAACATATGCACGTATACACATACACAAGAGTAGTGGGGTCAAACATTCGTAGCACAACTTATTCTCAAATATATCTTCTCTTTATCAGGTGAATCAATGTCACCCGTACTTTGCACGACAGTTTATATTTATTAATTTGCCTTAATTTAATCCTATTATTTTCCACAACAACTGAGGCTAGATTTGTTTTTCTCCATAATACAAATCTCCGTCACTCGAAAAAAGGGAGTGTTCACAACACTTCCCATTTCTCACACACATTTTGCACACGCATTATAGCTTACGTCACTGCTCACCAGTGACACTTTTAAGTGTCCAAACTTGTTACAACAGTATAATTTTATAGTGATCACTTTTCTCGTGGCCTAGAGGTTAAGGTGTTCGCCTATCTTTCAATAGACCCTGGGTTCGAATCCGATAGCGACCGGAAAATTTTCTTCTCTTAATTTGTCTCCTTTCACCTCCTTTCCTCCTCTCTAGCAATGTTCTGTCGTCTGTTTTCGCCTCCACTTTCTGCACCCACCCCTCACCTCCTTTGTCTCCTCCTCTGGGCTTCTGACTCTTTATGCGGCCTTTCTACTACTACTCCCTGGCTCCTTCTTACTGCTGTCTTTCAGCCACACCCCTGATCTTATGGTAGAAAAGATCTACACCTAGCCTTTTCGGACAAAGGCGAAAAAATCTCGGAGGTCCCCTGAGCAAGTTGCGCACGTTAAAGATCCCTTGGGGGTCACAAGTCGATAAGAGTAGGCTTCGGCCGCCACAAAAAGGTAAAATTCAAGATTTCCTACAATCTGAAACACGCGCTCATATGACCTTGTGCAGTTGCGAGCGTTGTAAAACACTTACCCCCCCCCAAAAAAAAAGATTATCAAAACTTACGTTAATATAATAGATGCAGAGTGTCACGATTAGAAGAAAGGACGAACTTGCTTGGAAAAGCGATATTGTTCCAGCTCATGGGATGGAAACACATAATTATAAACACACTCGTAAACTCTCTGTTGTGCACACACACACACACACACACACACACACACACACACACACACACACACACACACACACACACACACACACACACACA